GGAAGAAGCTGACAGAGATTTGTCACTGATCATTGTTCTTGTATGTGGCACCCCTCTGAGAATACTGAGTTTGTTATTACTCCTGAGAATCTTGTCTCTGTTATACCTTTTATGTCTGAGTTATTGTCTCTGTTATATTTTTCATGAAATTAAAACACATGAGCAACATCTGGGTGCCCTTATTGTAGACGTTTCGCCATCCAGTGGCTTTATCAATACAAATTCTAGGACATAATTTGAAAACAGTAGAACTATATACAGAAGATGAGGTAACCAGTCCCTCAGCCTTGGAGTTGGTGTGAAGAGCACCGTAGTCGTGGAGGTTCTGGTGCAGGTGTAAGGAGGCTGGCACTTATATATTAACGTCAGGTGCAAAGGGGACGTGTAGCAGACGGGGCATAGTCACCTTTCATATCTGTGAGGTATTCTCTATGTAGTGTGCACCCATGGAAAGATTTTAATAGCTAAGAATTAACTGTTTTCTCTTCCTCGTCTTTCTACAGAAGGATCGAACCTGGCTGATTCTTACGACTGCAAGTACATCGAGACCTCCAGCGGCTTCAACCACCAGGTGGACGAACTGCTAGTAGGAATACTCAAACAAATTCGCCTCAAGAGCCGTGACAGTGAGGTCACAGCTAGGAAAAGGAGCACTAGGAAGAAAAAATATCGGGGCTCCAAGACTTCGGCTAGCCTGAAGGTGAAGAGCTTCTTAACTAAAGTCTGTGGTAAGGAGACGAAGAGTAAGTCTTGCGAGAACCTCCATGTTCTCTGACTGACTTGGCTCTGACCCTCTCTGCCCCTCGGCTGGAACTTTTCCAATCCGGTTCTCAACTTATGGATGCCATACTGAGGAACTCATTCGCACCCAGGAGAGAGTAAATAAAGGGCAGATGTTTGAGCTATGTTTATGTCGACACCAAAAAAAAAAAAAACACTGCTTTTGTGAAGGAACAAATTGAGTGTCAATTCTTCACTCAAAAAAAAATCACGATATACATTATTCTGTTTTTGTTAGCCCAGAGGAAAAAAAAATGGGCTTTACTTCTGTGCCCTCAATAACCATAGAAAATGAGTGGTCACCTTATAGCGGAAAACACAAAAACATACGTAACTTTTGTGTTTCGGAAAAAAATAGAAGTGGGTGCTTTCGTGTGTCGAAAAAAAAAATAGTCTTGTATCAGCTAAGTGCGGAAAAAAAGGCCATGGAAACGCCCCTGGAGAAAAAGGCCTTAGAAAAAAGAAGGGGAAAAGTTCCTTTTACGGCAGACTAAAACAAACAAGTAATGACCAACCTTGCTATTTGTGCCTGCCAAGTGTGTGCAAAATAAAAACAAAAAAAAACATTAAGAGTCCTCTCACGCCTGAGAATCAGAAGATAAAAAAAAAATCATGCATTTTGAGTTGACGTTTTCACCCAAAAACTCAGTGAGGCCAAAATATATATATGTATATATATATATATATATATATTATATATATATATATATATATATATATATATATATATATATATATATATATATATATATATATATATATATATATAGCACGGTGCTCTACGACCAAAAAAAAAAAAAAGAAATCACAAGAAAAAACGGGAAACTTACTCAATGTTTTTCCCCTAACATAATGCGTACATAGCGAGGTGTTTAGCATTCATGTTTCCAAAAAGCGGAGGAAACGGGTAATGTATGTTACGGTCGTGAGTGAATATTTTGTCTTCTTTCCATATACTAACTTTTCAAACTGCTTTCAAAAGGACACTTGTGTCTTCACGGTGGTTCTCTGAGAAACTTTGAGCTGAGGAACTTCAAGTTCAGGAAGTTCAAGCTGAGGAAGTTCAGGTTGAGGAACTTCAAGCTGAGGAACTTCAAGCTGAGAAATTTCAAGCTGAGGAGCTTCAAGCTGAAGAACTTCAAGCTGAGAAACTTCAAACTGAGGAACTTCAAGCTGAGGAACTTCAAGCTGAAGAACTTCAAGCTGAGGAACTTCAAGCTGAAGAACTTCAAGCTGATGAACTTCAAGCTGAGGAACATCAAGCTGAGGAACTTCAAGCTGAGGAACTTCAAGCTGAAGAACTTCAAGCTGAGGAACTTCAAGCTGAGGAACTTCAAGCTGAATAACTTCAAACTGAATAACTTCAAGCTGAGGAACTTCAAGCTGAATAACTTTAAACAGAAGAACTTCAAGCTCAAGAACTCGAACCAGAGAAAGTCCACTAAACAAGCTTCTTACTGCAACAAGTGTAGTTGTGAATTATAGACGATGTGCTTTTGTTTTCACTTGTCTCTATGTATACCTGTTTTTTATTTATTTTGTACCTAAAACGTACTTTTTTACACGTTAAATATTTACTCCACTCTCAAAAAAAGATGGAGTACGTACCTATTACAACGCACATTAGAATTAAGTTGCCCCTTTTTTTACGACTTTTGTGGCGTCGTCACCTTTGTAAATAATACCTGGACGGAGGGATTTGTTTTGGTAGTCAAGGTTCAAGAGAAGGAATTGCTTTGGCTGGGTTCAGATTTGGAAGGGAAGGTTCACATGGATTCTGAACCCGGGTTCACTGGATCCCTATGTGCTTCGAATCTTGGTTTCCAGAGGTCCGAATGTGATGTGAATCCGGATTCAAGAAGTCTGTATGTGATGTGAATCCGGATTCGAGAAGTCTGCGCATGATGTGAATGTGGGTTCGAGAGGTTTGTACGTGATGTGAATCCGGATTCGAGAGGTTCGTATATGATTTGAATCCAGATTCGAGAGGTCTGTATGAGATGTGAACCCGGGAAGAGGTAGTTTTAAGGACCTTATTGCCCGAAACCCGGTTTGGTTAGACAGTGTTATCCAAAACCAGGTTAGTTTTGGACCGTGTTGTCCGAAACCAACAGGTTCGTTGAGACCGTGTTGTACGAAACCAGGTTCTTTTTGGAACCTGTTGTCCAAAACCTGGTTCGCTGAGACCGTTTTGTTCGAGATCAGGTTCGTTTAGAGAATGTTGTCCGAAACCAGGTTCGTTTTGGAACGTGTTGTGAGAAACCAGGTTCGTTTAGACCGTGTTGTCCGAAATCCACCTCCCATCCCTGCACCTTCTCAGAGGTGCTCAACGATACTAAGTCCAACCAAGTTGGACATATTTATCCGCCCTAACATTACCATCAAAGACCAAGCGACCGAAACGTCGCCTAGCTTCCAATTAGTAAGTTAGCTGTGAGCCCCAGTTAGTCTGTGAGGGCTGCTGCATTTCGAGCAGTGTAATGTGGAACAGCTAGTCAACGAGTGATAGGAAACGTCGAGGAGAATTTTAGTTGTTTTAAAAGACGTTTCGCGCAGGAGGGAGCTACGTCAAGTTTAGTAAAAGACCTATTGTTTGGTCTGAAAGTGGTCTTCAGCGAGAGTTTTGGAGTGGGATTCTCTAGTGAGAGGTTTGGAGTGAGGTTCTCTAGTGAGAGGTTTGGAGTGGGATTCTCTAGTGAGAGGTTTGGAGTGAGGTTCTCTAGTGAGAGGTTTGGAGTGAGGTTCTCTAGTGAGAGGTTTGGAGTGAGGTTCTCTAGTGAGATGTTTGGAGTGGGATTCTCTAGTGAGAGGTTTGGAGTAAGGTTCTCTAGTGAGAGGTTTGGAGTGAGGTTCTCTAGTGGGAGGTTTGGAGTGAGGTTCTCTAGTGGGAGGTTTGAGTGAGGTTCTCTAGTGAGAGGTTTGGAGTGAGGTTCTCTAGTGGGAGGTTTGAGTGAGGTTCTCTAGTGAGAGGTTTGGAGTGAGGTTCTCTACTGGGAGGTTTGGAGTGAGGTTTCTCTAGTGGAGGTTTGAGTGAGGTTCTCTAGTGAGAGGTTTGGAGTGAGGTTCTCTAGTGGAGAGGTTTGAGTGAGGTTCTCTAGTGGGAGGTTTGAGTGAGGTTCTCTAGTGAGAGGTTTGGAGTGAGGTTCTCTAGTGAGAGGTTTGGAGTGGGATTCTCTAGTGAGAGGTTTAGAGTGGGGTTCTCCAGTGAGGGGTTTGTAGTGGGGTTCTCTAGTGAGAGGTTTGAAGTGGGGTTCTCTAGTGAGAGGTTTGGAGTGGGGTTCTCTAGTGAGAGGTTTGAGTGCGGTTCTCTAGTGAGAGGTTTAGAGTGGGGTTCTCTAGTGGGAGGTTTAAGTGGGTCCAGTGGGGTTTGAGGGGTTCTCAGTGAGAGGTTTAGAGTGGGGTTCTCTAGTGAGAGGTTTGGAGTGGGGTTCTCCAGTGAGGGGTTTGGAGTGGGATTCTCTAGTGAGAGGTTTGGAGTGGGGTTCTCTAGTGAGAGGTTTAGAGTAGGGTTCTTAGTGAGAGGTTTAGGAGTGGGAGTTCTCTAGTGAGAGGTTTGGAGTGGGGTTCTCTAGTGAGAGGTTTGAAGTGGGGTTCTCTAGTGAGAGGTTTGGAGTGGGGTTCTCTAGTGAGAGGTTTGGAGTGGGGTTCTCTGGTGAGAGGTTTAGAGTGGGGTTCTCTAGTGAGAGGTTTGGAGTGGGGTTCTCTAGTGAGAGGTTTGGAGTGGGGTTCTGAAGTGAGAGGTTTGGAGTGGGGTTCTCTAGTGAGAGGTTTAGAGTGGGGTTCTAAACACGTTTAAAGAAAAGACACAGATAACAGTTTGAGCTTTTATTGTGGCAACGTTTCGCTCTGTTTGGAGGTTTAACGAGACATGTTTCGCTCTATTTGGAGGTTTAACAAGTTATGTTTCGCTCTGTTTGGGGGTTTAACGAGTCATGTTTCGCTCAGTGTAGAGCTTGATCAACTCATTTGACGTCTTAAGGCTTCTGGGTGAAACGTAGCTCTAATAAAAAGCCAGTTGTGCAACGTTTCGCTCACTCGTCGGATTCAGCGAGTAAAGGAGACCTTTCATATTTTGTTTTAAGCTGAAAACTAAGTTCACTGAAGTTTTCCAAGCTTTCTAAGCTTTCCAAGCTTTCCAAGCTTTCCAAGCTTCCAAGCTTTCCAAGCTTTTCAAGCTTTCCAAGCATTCCAACTTTTCCAAGTTTTCTAAGCTTTCCAAG